CCACTGGTTTTGTTTTCTTTTCAGTTTGGGCACTCAGGCCCAAAAAGGTTTGCCATCGCTGCTTTAGGGAGTCAATCCATCTTGTATTTGGTCTTCCCCTTTTCCTGCTCCTTGCCTGCTTTCTCAACATGATTGTTTTTCCCTGAGCGAATCCTGTCTTCTCGTGATGTGCCACAAAGTATGACAGCCTGAGTTTCATCCCGCCTCCCAATATAGTTCAGGATTGATTGACCTAGGACCTACATGTTTGTCTTTCTGGCACTCCAGGGTATCCTCAAAGCTCTCCTCCAGCATGGCAGTTCAAACAAATCATTCCCCCCCCCCCAGCTTTCTTAACTGTCCAACTTTAACACCTGTACATGGTGATTGGAAGTGCAAGATTGTGTATGACCTGGGTCTCCAGGGACTCATCCTTGCATTTGATGAACTTTTCTATTCTTTCACTGATGCCATTTGAAGTCTCAGTCTTCTTTTGATTTCTTGGCTGCATTCTCCATTTGGATTGATGACTGAACCAAGGTATACAAAATCTTTCACTATTTCAGTTTCTTCGTTGTCATAATTAAAGTTGTGTAGTTCTGCTGTAGTCATGATTTTGATCTTCTGTGGAACTCCTTGCCACAGGATGTGGTGATGGCCTCTGCCCTAGATGCCTTTAAAAGGAGATTGGACAGATTTCTGGAGAAAAATCCATCACAGGCTACAAGCCATGATGGGGACCTATAATCCCCAGGCTTAAAAGGAAGGTACCACAAAATGCCAGATGCAGGGGAAGGATATCAGGAGACAGATATCTAGTTGTCTTGTGTGCTTCCAGAGGCATCTGGTGGGGCCACTGTGAAATACAGGAAGCTGGATAAGATGGCCCCCTGGCCTGATCCAGCAGAGCTCTTCTTATGTTCTTGATGTTCAACTGCAGTCCTGTTTTGGCACTTTCTTCTTTCACTAAAAGTTGTTTGAAGTCATTGCTGCTTTCTGCCAGTAAGATGGTGTCATCGGCATATCTTGAATTATTGGTATTTCTTCCACCAATTTTCTCTCCTCCTTCACCTGAATCTCATCTGGCTTTCTTTAGGGAGTGATAAGCCACTAGAAAACTCTGGAAAGGGCCATTATAAGTTGGAATTGACTTGGTGGCACATAATTATATTAAGTGTATATGGGCCTGGTCCAACCACATATAGAGGAATGTTAATTCCACCACCCCAATCAATTTTTTTAATGTCACTCACTTAGGATATATTTCCTCCTTAAGATAGAGGGTGGGTGAAATACTCCACTGACAGAACAGAACAGCCTCAGATCTAAAGCTAATTCTTCATAAATGCATCCTTGTGATCCAAACATACAAAGTTCAATATTTTGTAGTACCTCATTAGGTCACTAAAATATAACAGCTGTGGGTTAAAAGCAAAATAAGCCCCCAAGTTATGTTGATGATTATTGGTTGAACTTTATAAAGTGGGCTGAGGCTGTCTAAATCATTATCCAGGTTAATGAATGGCAGGTGAAAGGTGAAATTCAATCGAATTGCAGGCCAATTAAAATCATGAAGGGCTTGTTTGCTCCAGTATATGGTTGCATATGTTACAAAGGGATGTTGTCACATGAACTTGTGTGTTATATAGCCCACTGCTACTGTGAACTTAATGCATAAAAGAAACATGGACTTTACTGCTCGCATGGAAAAACAGCTCCAAGAGCCAATCCACTCAAATGGAAACTCATTTGCAGAGTTAGATGTGACTTATTAAAATAAACAAAACATCATTGATACAACCAATTGCATCACCCAGAGACACACAGCAATATCCTGGAATCTGGAAGTAAAACTGTTGGCTAATATCCAGAACAGAGTTTAAACCCATAGATTCCATTATATTGCTGTTCAGAAATGAACATAATTATTAAAGCATTGTTTCTGGGTTTTTTTAAAAAAAATGTTATGTGTACACAGAGAGACAGAAAATGAACCAATTGATCCTCTTAGAGTGAGTTACATTAGATGTGTTTATTTGCTCAAAAGCAACATAATCATGGCTCAGAATTTTATTGCATTATGCAGTTTAATTCTTGGTAACTTCTACTATATGTATAATTTCTTAAGGAATCATTCAAATTTAGCAGTTAATCCATATGGAATTATAAATGAGATAGAATATACTTCCCAGGACAGTCTGGTTCTTTGGATAGAAAGAAGACAAATGCAAGCAAAAATAAGAGTTTCAGAAAGATTTTTATTTTATTTACTGATTTTTCCTTTATGGATTAGAGTCCATGGTCTGGCCTTTATGGTAACAGCAACTCTGTAAGGTAAATCAGACCGAGATATAGTGATTGCTCCGAAGTTACCTGCTATGCTTTGCAGCCAAGCAAGGATTTGAATCCTGGACTCAAAAACCCAACAGTCTGCCCCTTGCGTCATCACACTCCTGGTCATTGATATATGTAGATTCTATACAGCCCACAAATGTGACAGTGAAGGAATGTATCTGATTCTTCTGCACTTAAGGAGATAATTTGTTTCTTTGGGCAATTAATTCACTTAGCTGAATGTGAATTATATGAACTCAATATATTCAATTATATATTGTATAATATATTGTATAACTGCAAATTAATTTTAAAATAAAGTAGCAGTGTATGTTTCAGGGGCAGATAGGCTTCCTGAGCCTAAACCTGATCATTAGTCTCAACTAAGGTAGAACTACTGAACGAATGAGATTTACGCAAGTGTTGAGTTATGATGCACCCATTGATTCAATAGATCTGTTCTGGTTGGGACTAACAACTGGATATCGGCCTCTTATTCCTGGATTCTGTAACATAGGCCCTAATTTATAAACCTCTGGTAAAAGGTAACTCCTCCTCCATATAGATAAGGTTATCTACTGCAGTTCCTGGAAAACTTATGTTTTGAGTGACAACTCCTAGAATCTCCAAGTTAACCGGACCACATTTTTGTCATTGTCAAAAAGCGCCATCTTTTTCCTAAGTGAGTGGTGTTCCTTTTGCTGTGGAAGGTATGCCTAAATAGGCTTTGTTTATCTCTAATAATGGTAATGGATTTATGACAGGATCACTAATTGGCTGGGACAACTCTAAAAGTACAGAGGGAGCACCCAAACCCAAAGCAGATACGGAAATTATGTAGAAGTGAATAGGATCAAATAAAGCTCACAATTCACATATCTTTAGAGTTTGGGAGGAGAAATGTGTCTCTCTCATGTCTGCGCTAGTTGAATACTACAGGAATCTCTTTCAGCATAGTCCAAGCACACAGATATATCCAGGCGCACACCCACTCAGTGTGCACTTGCATATCATAGCCAGACAACTATGGCTTTCAAGATTTCAGTGTAGGGAATAGCACATTGCAAAACTGAAAGTGTGTGTGTGTGAGAGAGAGAGAGAGAGAGAGCTGCATCTTTGTGCTGCTAGTCTTATTAACATTTTCTATTGCAACTTTTCTGCCTTGCCCCCGCCCCACCTCCTCTTTCTCTCTGTGACCCCCAACACAGCAGGCTCTGGAATCAGAAGAAAGGAAGATTAAAAGCATGACTCGGCAACTTGGATTCATGCTGCTTCGCACTGCAGGAGAAGGCATTGTGATTGAATCAGCACTGATTGTGCCACAATGTGCTGGGAACTCAAACACTCCTATGTTTTCATTTTGCTTTGCTTGTGTTTTCCCAACCAGAAGGGATGGAAAGGAGAGGGAGGGGCAAATCCTTTGGAATTATTTGCCAGCATAATCCTCAGAGAATGCAACTCTGTATATTCTACAAACTCAGCACTGTGTCTCTAGCAGGCCCCACTGGGCAGATTATAAAGCAGTGCCCTTTTGCACTGGCACAAGAATAGTTTGTGCTGAAGCATAACTGGAGAAAGTTACTTTTCTGGACTACAGAACCCAGAATTCCCTCCAGCAGCATGACCAGTGGGAATCAAAATCCAAAAAGGTAGTTCTTCCAAGTGCTACACTCAATTCAAAAAGCAACTTTTATCTTCCTCAGTGTCAACAAAGGTGCTGTGATCTACAAAGAGTAGAGGAAGGTTCACTACGAAGTGCCCCAAATGGTTCCGTTGGAAACTCTTTCCACTCTGTAAGAAAAAGAAGCACTTTGTTTTAAACAGCATTTCAAACAGAACTCTTGAAATAGTGTAGAGGAGGTGAAGAATGGCATTCCAGCTGACAGACAGAATCAATAGCAATGTAAATAGTTTTATGAGAGGGCCTCTTTCAGGAGATGACATTGCAGATATTGTGGAAGGTGATATTACATGATAATATCTGACCCCAGATGGTGTTGGACTGCATACCCTATCATCCTTCGCTATTGCCCATTCTGACTATTGCTGATGGGAGGTTTTTCTTGGTCTTCCTGAGACAGGGGGAATAGGCTAGCTGTAAAAATAGCCACAAATGGACTGGAGAACATGTAGCTCATGCAGGAACTGATCACTTAGAGAATGTGACACAGCAAAACAGGACTATTACGAAGTATGCTGTGTGCTTAGAAGTACATAGCCAATTTAAAGCCCTTCCTTGGAAAGTGATTCTGGGCCACTGGAACAGGGATAGAAGTCCCAAGCTTTAGAAAGCACAGAGGTCACCATGGAGGGTTTTGTCTATAGAAGCATTCCTGACTCATCTCGGATAAGGATACAGGGGAAAGCATTGGGTGGTTGTAAATAACTTCCTATTGAGGAGGCAGGGGCAGCAGCTTACAGGCCTGAGAGGATGTGTCAGGAGTTCATTCTTCCTGAGGTAGAGATCCAAATTATGACAGAGAGCTTGCTAGAATTTATCAAGCCCACTAATCATCATCTCTTCCGTCTCTTCTACAGTACATGGGAAGAAACATCAGACACAGCCTTCAGTGCATTGCAAGGGGATGTGAAACTTGAAGTAGGAAGGTGGAGGGCATTGAGACACAGCTGTTTTATTTAGCATGTCTTCCTGTTGAAGACCATGGCCCAGGGAGAGGAGCAAGGTCACTGAAAGAGAACAACTGACTGTGCAGATGGTGTCAGTGGCAAAAACACGGCTTCTTTGCCCATGGTTTGTGCTTCCCTGAAGGAAGATTACTGGCAATAGGTAGGTTGCACCTCACTGAGGTTGGGAAAAATGTATTTGCTAGGAGTCTTCCTAACATGGTCAGAATGGCTTTGAATGGAGTCTTTTTGTATTTCAGAGATATTCTAATTTTTAAGGTGGGGGAGACATCAAGCAGTAAGAACTAGAACACTAATTATGCATCAGAAACTGGGATGGTGGTGCAGGAACTTGCCAATGGATGAGAAAAGACAAGAAGGCAGCAATAATGGAGGGAATAACCAATGATTGCCAAAGTCTCAGTATCAGTTCGCAGAGCCTGGGAAACAAACAAGATGAGCTGGAGCTCTTGATACAGGAAGGTAAATGTGATTTAATAAGCATTAGTAAAACCTATGGAATGAGATTTATGACTGAAATGTAGTATATGAAGGGTATAATTTATTAAAATGGCATATAGTACAAAACATAGGAAGTGAATAGCATTATGTAAAGTGTGTATACACCCTGCAAGGAGATTTATGACTAGGAGAATAGAAGGCTGGTGGACAGTATATAAAAATCAAAGGAGAGGGAAACAACAGTTACATAGCTAAGGGGCATCAGCAAATCAATTGTTGTCATCAAGTAGGAACACAGTAATACTATCACTGAATTCCAGTGTCATTAGACAAGTTCATATGAGAGCAGCTTCATCACCAAGGACTTTGTGCTTGACGGAGATCCAAGCCAGAGCTTCAGAGCAAGGAGTTGCAAAGGAAAAGTGGTGCATAAGAGCAGGGAACAAGAAATGGATGGAAGATAGATAATGAGGAGACTGTGTACCTGTTCTATACTGTTAGTGACTGTCAAGATCTAGGAAAACCAGGATGGAGAGAAAAGCTACAGGCAGTTTATATACTGGGACACTGTCAGAACAGAACATTGCAGGCCATACGTGCAACATATGGAAAAACTGGTTATGTCACACAACTAGAAAGAGAATGCATTAAAAGGGAATTTTGAAAATGTTCATTTGACGAAAAGCAGTTACCAGAGGAATGCAACAGTCCTTTAACCTGTAATGATAACCATGCTAAATGAATAGAGCAGAAATCCCTGAAATACTTGGCAATCTGCCAGAAGCAATAAAGAATAAAGGATTCTTTCAGAAGGTAAAAGAGATGTTCTATACCAACCACATGGAGTTAAATAGAACCTCCCTACTCACAGACCTTTCCTTCCTACAATAAATAATAGCAAGTATGTTTTTAACATAATATTAAATCTAAATCAGATTGTGAGGAACTTTCTGGATGAAAAGGAATGATATTCACTAAGTACACCTAGCAGTATACTGCTCAGCAGCCAGCGTTTCCTAATTGGTACACATTCCACAATGATCATGGGACACAAAAACAAATGAAAGAAGGAAGGAAGGGAGGTCTGTAAGGCCAAAGACAAAAACTACAGCTTCACATCAAGTCTGAAACATTGCAACTGAATGAAACTCAAAATTTTAAACTTGCTGACTATCATTGCTCAGTGAAACAGAAGTTTAAGGCAAAAGCAGCCCAGTTATCTAGGTGTGTATGTAAAGACACACACACACACACACACACACACAGAGAGAGAGAGAGAGAGAGAGAGAGATAGAGAGAGAGAGAGAGAGAGAGAGAGAGAGAGAGAGAGAGAGAGTTTTACTGTAATTTGTCCCAAGTAGGAAAGAAACTATAACCTGAGCTGGATTTATTACCTTCTGCCCCTAGACAATACTTAAATGCCCCCTGGCTCCAACATGAATGGAAAGTTTACAGCGCCTTACTTTCTCTGTCCATGAAATAAAAAAATAATAGGGATGTATGCCAAGCATTGGAGAAGACACAACATTGGAAAGCATTGCATATGAAGCAGTTCACTTGCACCTTCCACTTCTTACATTGCCCCAAACCCACAGCTGCCTCAGCCACAACTTTAAAACAACAACCTCACTGCTTCTGGCCAATTTCCTGGCTTACATCTAAGAAAGACATGCCTGGCAAAATCTATCTTGCCAAGAATTTTTGGACCTTAAGAGTAACTATCCTGGCAAAAAAAAATATCCATCTTGCCATGACCATTTGGACTTTTGGTACTTGCCTTGAAGAAGTGAGATTTACCCATGAAAGCTCGCATAGTATATGATTTTTTTATTAGTGGTCAATAAAGGTATTGTAGCCTATTCTTGCAAACTAATGTTCTGTTTCTCCAATTTTGTAGATTCCCACCCTAATTCAGCAGGTGAATTAATGGAATCTTGAAGATGGAGATTTTACTGGACTCCTTTATGATTGATAATGCACCAAATGCCCTTCAGACCCATTGAGGACGGGAGACTGAATGGAAAAGAGTCTTCTGTTGATTTGCCAAGTCTGACAGAAACAGTTTGCAGTGCACTTTGTTCTCCTGAAATGAAAGGAATGGGGTGATAAAATGTTGGACTATCACTGCCAGGTAAGAACTGATGATGAAGTTTAATTGGCTGGCAGAGTAGCTAAATCTTACTGCTGGGATTGCTTGTTTGCATGTAGTCTATGATGTTGCGTCCACAATTTGTCTGACAAGGGGTGCTGCATGACTGCTTCTACAAGATAAGGGAAGGGTTTACGCCGTTTCCTTTCTGACCAGTCTGTCAATCTTGCCCCATTATTTCAGTCCCTGGGCTGGCTTTCTCACTTAATTCTGAATCAAAGTGCAAGGTTCCACTTGTCAGTTTTAAAACCACAATTCCATAAGGTTGTCAGGAAGGGAGCCAGAATAATGAGACAGCTGCCTGCCGTGATACTCCCCAGTTGGTTGGCAAATGACAGAGTTTCTAACCCCAAGAGGTTAAACGTCAAGTGAAAAACTAAAGGAAGCTCATATAGCCAAATTCAGAAATCTCTTAAACAGTAGTGAAAGTTGCACATCACCCATAAGTGAATGAGAATGCAGCAATAAGTGTGAGTAGAAAAGGTAATTTCTCTCTTTGGCCTTCTCTAGGTCAGGTCTAGATTAACTGTTAGTCAAAAGAAGCAGTAGGGCAGGAGTGTAATACAGTGGTGCCTCGCAAGAGGAGGTTAATGCGTTCCGCAAAAATCGCTGTCAAGCGATTTTGTCGTTAAGCAAAACGTGGTTTTCCATTGAAATGCATTGAAACCCTGATAATCTGTTCCAATGGGAACAGATTGCCATCGTAAAGCAAAAATCGCCATAGGAAACATCGTTAAGCGAAACGCGTTTCCCAAGTGAACACAGCTGTTGAACGAAACAGCGATCATTCAAATGCCCGTTTAATGAAGTGAACCCGAGCTGTCAAAACCATTGTAAAGCGAAACACAGGGACCCGAAAATTAACCGTCTTGCGAGGCAAGGTCCCCACCATCATAGAGCGAAAATCGCCCATAGGAAATATCGTTAAATGGAGCGTAAGATCACTCCGGAAAACTAATCATTAAGCAAATTTGTCGTTAAATGAAGCAATCGTCTAGCAAGGCACCACTGTATTTATCCGAAAACACCTGTTTGGGGGAAATGGGCCTGGCATTTTCCCCCTGTGCCTTTCCCTGTAATACATCTCTGTGTCTCAGGAGAAAGTAGCTGTTTCTGTAGTTTCCAAGGCATTTGGTATGATCCTGGCAAGCATTAAAATGTATTCTTTATATTAATAATGGCTGCATTTATTCCATTTCGATTGGGATAGGAAGCACAGGGAAGAAACATAGGTTGTGCATTTGTACTTGACCTGAGAGCTAAGATCATCTCCACTCTAATACACCTTGCACAATATGTAGCTGAAATGTTTTTCATTTGCCCAGGGCCTGCAGTACAGTAGACCTTTTGTTCCCAGATGTAGAGAAACTTGTGGGGAAGGGTATGAGCTCCCCTATGCATCCTGTACCAAAAGGTAAGTGAAAATAGGACACTGAGTTCAACATTTAACCGGGATGTTTTTAATGTCTACTTTCCTTAAGATGGAGAAACTGACAGTGGCCATACTCACTAACATACTCTGAAAGTTTTAACTTTCCCCATCTCTGTTCTCCAAAGTTTTAGGATGATATCTTCCACCACCACCCCCCACTTGCTGATTCTTTTTAAACAAAACTATCAGAGTTATTCAGTGGTATGTAGTGGGTGGAGTGACGAACTAGGACTCAGTAGACTGGGTTTCAAATCCCCAGTCAGCCATGGAAGCTCATTGAGGGGATGGCCCAGGCAAAGACTTTCCCCATCTCTGTTCTCCAAAGTTTTAGGATGATATCTTCCACCACCACCCCCCACTTGCTGATTCTTTTTAAACAAAACTATCAGAGTTATTCAGTGATATGTAGTGGGTGGAGTGACGAACTAGGACTCAGTAGACTGGGTTTCAAATCCCCACTCAGCCATGGAAGCTCATTGAGGGGGTGGCCCAGGCAAAGCCATTCCTTAAATATCTCACTTACTTTGAAAGCCCTATAAGGGCCACTACAAATCGATTCCAACTTGACAGCACATAACTCCAAAAGTTACTGGCATTTAACAGCACCAGATTGTATAACCTTAAAAGCTGACAAATTTTGTATAAGCTTTCAGGGATTGTAGCCCACTTGCTTAGATGCATCTGAGAAAGTGAGCTACAGATAGGCCACAAAATCTTGCACCAAATAAAACTTGCTAGTATTTCGGGTGCTTCAAGACTCTCTTTTGGTTTCTCTGTGACAGACTGACACAGCTACTCAGAATTATTTTTTTACTTGGCATTCGGAAGATTGACCATGAGACTTGTTATATACATAAGGATAGAAGATTTTCTATAGTGGCATGTACAAGGCCCAGGTCACAGCTCCAAAGGGTTGTATTAAGCATGTAACCCCAGCTGATCTTACATACAGTACCTAAGGCAAGCTTACACAAGTATTTGTATAGTTTGCATTGCTCTTAGTAATTTCTGGTTGCAGGTTGTAATGATGGGAAACACACTGAGCCCATAGTTAAGTGCCATACTCGTCAAGTCAAATGTTCCTAGCTTGCTTGGTAACAAGGTAGGGAGTCCTGTCCTAAACATCATCATTTTAAAGTTCATTTTAGATATGATTAAGAATGGAAACAAAATAAAAGATGGATCTACCAAGTCCAATACAGATAGGAGGAGTCGTAACTCTATGCAGAAACCTAATTGACTGCCAACTTTTTTCTTTCTATTAGTTCTATTAGTTTTTCTTTTTTGTAAGGCTATCCTGTCTATGGCCTATTACAGCAATTAGGGATGGATTAATCTGAAGAAATATGAGCCCTTCTTGGAAGATACCTTTCATAAAGTGTTGTTGCTTTGCCCATAAGGGCATCAATCAAGCATGTCGCGCTGATGGCAACTAACAAGGTTTGTAAATAGACCGCATCTAGTCTAGTCACTGGTGGCAGCTACTGCTTTCTCCATCACTGCACACAAACCATGCCAGCAATAGCAGCCCTTCAGTACAGGAAAAAACAAATCCAGGAAATGAGGCTTCTCAAAGAACAGAGTCTCAGATGCTGGTGGATTCTTTTAATGATAGAATATAACCCAAAATTCCTTTGCTGCTGTTGGTGGCCTACGCAAGAAGTGCAGCAGCAGACATTCAGAATGAAAAAGCATTGGCCTTTGAATTAATTCATTAAACAAACAAAACTAACAAATTGTTTTTGTTTGTTTGTTTGTTTGTTTGGAAGACCACAGAATAGAAATACTTCATTTCATTTGTTAGGAACCTATGATTCCAGAAGAAAGAAAGAAAAATTTCACATGCTACTTGCATTCATGTACATCTCACAGCTTTGTGTGTGAACGGTGTAAAAGCAATTGTGCACAAGATTAAAACTCTCCTGCAAACAAAACGTTGCCATTTTATGTGTGCAGATAAAACTATTATATTCTGTGTAAATTTCTACCCAACATCTTTCCATCAGATTTTGATATATATTTCTGGCTATCCTACTTTATTTCCATATAACTATGCATCACCTGATGTGTCTACCCATGGAGACTTAATTTGGATCTCTCTAGGACTGGAAGTGTACAGCACAGAACATTTACCATTACTAAAATCCATGCTGTGCGTTTTTACAGATTTGTCAACACAAGAGAGCATGTGCTATAAAAGCACATGGTTATTTATATCAATCTGTTTACTTCTAATCAGGAGTCATTAAACATAAGGCAACCTCCTTTCTTAATTGTAGGTTTTAAGCATCTGTCATTACTCAACACGACTGGCATGTACCCACACATTTCCCCCTTTTTATCCACTTTTATTTCTAATACTGGCCACACACCTCGCAATTATCAAAAGCAGAAAACCTGTAATGTGCTTCTTACAAGATCAAGCTTATGCTAAACTTTGGGTATGTAAGGGAAAGGAATGTACACTGCTGAATACCAGAATGTGACCACAAGAAGAGATAGCATTACTTCAAAGTCACAACTGTTCTGAGCAAGTTCACATAACCCAACTGCTATTTTGATTATATGTGTACCAGAATGTGACCACAAGAAGAGATAGCAAGTTCACATAACCAAACTGCTATGTTGATTATATGTGTTGTTGTTTAGTTGTTCTGTCGTGACCAATTCTTCGTGACCCCATGGATCAGAGCACACCAGGCCCTCCTGTCTTCCACTGCCTCCCGGAATTTGGTCAAATTCATGTTGGTTGCTTTGATGACTCTGTCCAACCATCTCATCCTCTGTCGTCCCCTTCTCTTGCCGTCACACTTTCCTAACATCAAGGTCTTTTCCAAGGAGTCCTCTCTTCTCATGAGATGGCCAAAGTACTGGAGCCTCAGCTTCAGGATCTGTCCTTCCAGTGAACACTCAGTGAACATTCTTTAGAATGGATAGGTTTGTTCTCCTTGCAGTCCAGGGGACTCTCAAGAGCCTCCTCCAGCACCACAATTCAAAAGCATCAATTCTTCGGCGGTCAGTTCTCGTTATGGTCC